TGTGTAAAACCAATACCGTATGGATGTGTGTAAAAATACACCGTATGGATGTGTGTAAAACCAATACCGTATGGATGTGTGTAAACAAATACCGTATAGATGTGTGTAAAACCAATACCGTATGGATGTGTGTAAAAATACACCGTATGGATGTGTGTAAAACCAATACCGTATGGATGTGTGTAAACAAATACCGTATAGATGTGTGTAAAACAAATACCGTATGGATGTGTGTAAAACAAATACCGTATGGATGTGTGTGAAACCAATATCGTATGGATGTGTGTAAAAATACACCGTATGGATGTGTGTGAAACCAATACCGTATGGGTGGGTGTAAACAAATACCGTATGGATGTGTGTAAAACCAATACCGTATGGATGTGTGTAAAAATACACCGTGTGGATGTGTGTAAAACAAATACCGTATGGATGTGTGTAAAACAATTACCGTATGGATGTATGTATGTAAAACAAATACCGCGTGGATGTAAGTAAAACAAATACCGTATGGATGTGTGTAAAACAAATATCATATAGATGTATGTAAAAAATACTGTATGGATATGTGTAAAACCAATATCGTATGAATGTGTGTAAACAAATACCGTGTTGATGCGAGTAAAACCAAAATCGTATGGATATGTGTGAAACCAATACCGTATGGATGTGTGTAAACAAATACCGTATGAATGTGTGTAAAACAAATACCGCGTGTTCACCGCAAAAAACAAACAAACGTGAAATATGATACCCATACATTTCAGTATTCAGTAGCTTACAAATGCACCAATCAGTGTACCTCACTTCAATTACAGTGACCCAAAAGATCTAATTTTACGTGTTCTGTCCTTCTAAAATACGGGCTGTTGAACTTTCATGTCGTTCAATAATGAATATTAAAATTATAGTTTCTAAATAAGGTATTGTCGGTATGTGTTGCCACAGTGTATTCGCAGTGTCGCAAACATAATCTGGTGGACGACGATAGTGCTGACCTTCTTTAATGACCTTTGTTCAACATTGTTATTGCGCAGGTACAGTGGTAGTGTTTCCGATAACATATCCCGAAAGTATCCGAAACTAAATGGTTCGGGGTTAAACATGTTCGTTAGAGACTTTCTAAGAAGTTATCTGTGCAGTTTATTTTGAAACGTATAAACATCGGCCTGATGACGTAATGATTGTTTCAGAAATATTATTTTATATATATAAATACTTTTGTTCTTCAAAATTGTAAACGCAAATTATATGAAGCTTTTTTGACAACAAAGATATCTGAACAGAGAAGGCTGCTCAATAACGTATTATACAACATGTACACGAGTTTTATGGAACACTGAAAAAACTCTCTACACCAGTTTTGGAAAACTGAGATTCCGCGTAACAAGTGGTCGTTCAGTGTAACAATATCAGTTTTATATAATTTAAAAGTCAATATTATGTCCGATATAATTGTACAATTTCCGGGCCCAGTTTACTCACTAAATTAGAAAGCGGAAGTTAGACGAGGAAGTAAAAACGGAAACTCGCTCGGTGATATACAATTTATCATAGGGGCGAAGTCTGCAACGTACCTCAACATAGTTTTGTTCGCAGTAATCAGCAATTCTTTCCAAATTTGCGTGACTGTCCCGCAACGCCTGACGTCCGGTAGGGATATCACTGTGAACTAATGTATACAGCGTCGACATTTCGACGTTGAGCCGCACGACAGCCTGTACTGTATATGCGAGTAACTTAAAGGTAGTGAATAAGCCAGGGGAGGACAATACAATCACGTGATCCTAGCTTTCGTCTGGATGAAAGCGAACTTTGCCTGAAGTCATGCAAGACTTATTTTTATGAATGGTCGATGGAGGGCGCTATGGTTGTGCTAAAGTGGCATACGTGCAGTGAATTGAAAACAAACATTTCGATCCATATCAATTGCTCTTCTTGGTGGCATAAAGTGTTTATGAGATCCAGAAAAATTTCGCTACAGCGAGGCTACTCATTTTGACACATTTCATTGCCCTCCATGTCACACCTATGATGTCCACGGTACGCTTACTTCTGTGGTAAAACACCTTGGAATATTTTGTACGTCACTTGAGAATCGGTGATTTCCCGTTCCCTGTGTGATCTCGCGTATTGCGTGGAAAAATCAAAAGATTTAATTTAGATTTATTTTATAGCTCAATGTCGAAATGTTGATCTTTGAGAGAAAAATATTTTGCGCTGAGGTCAAAATTGATCATCATCAAATATGTATAGTATATTATTAAGCATGGAAATGTCCCCCAAAACACTTTCGCGTTTGTCGAATCCCACGTGATGTTTGACGCCACTACGACGCAATGACCTTTGTTTGTTCTGTTTTTTTGTTCGATTTCGCGCAAAACGTGGGATCTCGCAGTGAAAATGGCCTATTGGTAGAAATTTCCGACTATTTTCTGCAGCGGCATGATAATGATTATTATCTTTTAGCTTTGCGCTCTGGTTAGCAAACGTAATTGATGCACGACAAATAGATCAAACAAACAGTTCCGGGGAAGGTCACATTGCTAATTGTGCGCATGCGCAAGTTTATATCCATTTTACGTTGCCATTCTGAATATGTTTCAAGTTGCATGCGACATACAGGGCCGTATATCGTTACGGGGGTAATATTATTTTTGAGCGCTCGTCCATCTTGAATAACATAATTTCGTGAACATGACACTAACAGCACAGAAAATAAAATGCATTATTTTAAATTGCCTGTTGGAACATGCGTAAGGCATACAGAGTTGTGAAATGTAAAACCCCTCAGTTTTGAATAAAAATTAATTCTTAATCCTGTCATGGTATTCAAACGGCGATATGAACGAGCAGAGTGAA